AGAAAAATATTTTGCACACAAGGGAAACCTGTAAGTCCACTGTAGCAAAATGCAGAAGGCATTTTCATCCTGATTTGATAAAACCGGCCATTTCACTCACCCCCATGCAATATAGGGTTCAACAATCCGCAACATGTTGATAGAAGCTTTGTTGAGTTTTACAAACGTGCCATTAAAAATCTGACGCAGACGAAGAAGCTGCAACACCTTGCGGACCTTAGGGCTGACACCATTGGTACTACAGAACACAGGAAAAAAGCCTCAGTTATCTACATTCCAGAAAACACTAAGTATCAGGTAAAAAAACCCCACAGTAGTATTGTTCCCATATGAAATGGCATCATTATTTTACCAATTACACAAAGCAAGCTTAATAAATTTCCTATCTCTATATATTTCAATATTAAGTTAAAATAGATCTATTTCCATGAAAAGAATTGAAATAAGTATTATACCGAAACAATTTACAACTCTCCTTATATTCTCCTGAACATAATTCTTCCAATCACACCTTTTGTTAGATTTCTATAGCACTTTACCAAATGAGAGTTAAACAAACACTTCAAACAAAGCTTAGTTGAATATTAGGGAATACCAGCATGTAATTTCATCGAGATTAAGGTGAAACAGAACTGTCTGCACATAGTTGTAGCCTTGCCACCTTCTAAAAACTCGGGGATTTCTAAAGACAGTAGACATCACCAGCCAGACAATTTTGTACTACGTTAAAAAAGCCCCCGGTGCATGTAAAACATTACTGTCAACACCTTTCCAATTCACCAGTGTAAGGCTTGATTTTATTTACATATTTAAGCCCTTGAAACAGACAGGTAACAGGAAAGCCAATTTCAGAGCTTTCGAACATAAAATTGTTTACATCTGTATTCAATCTTACCCTCTTATCCTGATCACAAATGCCAATTTTGGTTCTGCTGGAACGTAGTAATTGCCAGCTTTTCGGGCCATCCTGGCCATACGGATCTCCTGCCTGTACATGTGCCTGTACTCCTTGTGGTAAGCTTGGGCTCTTGCATAGATGAGCTTTCTTTGTGCCTTACGGAACTGAAATCAATTTAAAATGACTTAAGATTACATAATGCCTTTTAACAAATGACAATCACCTTCAGAAAACATAGCATATTCTAGAGCTTCCCACAAATAACACAGATGGCAGGAACATCTGCCCACATAATGGAGTTTAGACTTACTCTCAGCGATATTCTAGATAATCTGGAAGACTGTTACACAGCAGTGCTCCCTTACCCGGAACAGTATTATCATGCATCAAGCTTACCCTCGCAAAGGCTATAACCTCTTGCCGTGTAGAAGGCTAACTTTAATCTTAGAGACAACTGTTCACTATACCTTTACTCTGCCCATAACGGGTTTGTTATTGCTTCCCCCCACCCCAAGCATATTTTGGTCGAAAACATTAAACAAATACCAATGCACTAGACCTAAATACTGTGAACTTCTGTATTGCATTACACCAGCAATAGTAGATGATTTGCAACAGATAACCAAAAACAGCTAAGGTATCATGAAATACTCACCTTTTTTATAGCCAATATCTTCTTCTGGCGTTTAACTTTCATAGCCGCATAAGCCTGCCGCTTTTTCAGCAGGCTTTCCGGTACAGATGGCACCTTCTTTGCTCTAGATGAAAACAGAAAAAAAAAAAAACCCAAACTTTTAGCTGATAGGAAGAAACTGGGCTTTAAAGTTACACATGACAAACATCAACACAAACTTGTAATACAATGCGTATGCATCGAGCCAGTTCACTGAGGCATCTTTGTTGTTCCCACTGTCACCACGCCTCGATGCAGACTGGACAGATCACCTTTTATACGAGACAAGGCAGTCTGACAAACTGGCTGCTGAGCTGCAAACAACCCATGTACACAACCCTAAAAGCTGAGAACACTTGAGTGACGAGAAATTTTTACCCTTCTTTACTACAATTCAACTGTAACAAAATTAAGCCTGTTTCCAGCGCATCTCGTTCAGATTATGAAACATTTAAACAGGTGCTTTAATAGAAAAAGTGATTTAGCAGTATTCTCAAATTTATTTCGCAGCCCTTTAGGCCTACACAAATTTTAAACTCTTAGATGTGACAAAGCTTGCAAGACCAGTGTTTATACAGCCAGCATTACGCGAGTTCCTACCCTAACCGCACCAGGCCACGACTCCCCACCTCAGCCGCACACCGCTTCGCGCAGCACCGCCCGCCCCCCACGCGGGGACCAACTCTGCCGCCCCCGGTGCCT